CAGATACATAATTTGCTCACCACTACCACTCTTCCAGATCTTTCTTTGTTCCCCCAGATGTTGTCCTCTATAAATATACTCAATAATATTCGAGAGGTAGACACTGTCTATCAATTCATATATGAAATCTATAATTAAGATGATGGAAAAGTGGAATGGATGAAGGTATCAAACTCACCTGTGAAATGAACGGAAATTATTTCTATTACTCCACTCCGCGCTACAAACAAAACATGTCAAAACCATTTTCACCAAAAAAACTTGCACCACACTCTTCGGTAAGGAATAAGTCACGTTTATTCCTAATTGAATTATCACAATACAATCAATACACACCAGGAATAGTAATTGAAAATTATGAAATATAGAAACTAGAAACGAAAATACCAAGACGCCATTTCTCAAATCTCAATGACGATTGACGTTGACGACAGTGTTGCCAGATGAAAAAAATATAGAAACCTATATATTGAACGAAAACATGATTATGGTTGATCTCTATACCTATTAAAAATCGAACAAAGGATAACAAAAAATAATAAAATGAGAAATAAAATTTGTATCATCCTCAACCGAACTAAAAAAATGAAATCTAATTTTTTACTAATCTGACTGAATATGATTATTCCGGTATATTTTTATCATACATCTTCTTACTGTGATGCCAATATATTGTTAAATATTAGGTAGTTATGTCATATTATAACATGACCATTCAGGCCATTGCCTTGAACAGTAGAGTGGTAGAACGTAGAGTCCCTGTATATACCTTAGACAAGAGTTCGGACACAGCTATACTTCTGTCCTTTTCTGTTTTCAAAAAATGCATTGATGATTGAATAAAGGAATAAGACATATATATCGAGCTCTGTCTTTTCAATTACCCTAGTATCAATGATTGTCAGAAACAATTTTGAGGGTTAGATTATTAGTCAAACCGTTCATACCCGTAGGTAGAAGTGAGAAATAGGGCTATTTTAACAAGAATAACTATTAGATTTTCGAATAATGAACAACAGGGTGTTCAATTCTTGAGATAGCTATTGCAAATTTTCGTCATCAGATATTTATTCACTTCATTAGATATAAGAAAGATAATAAAATAAAAAAAATAGAAGATATATAATTGTTTCAATATAATTTTCTCCGATTCTCTCAATTTAATAACACTCAGCAGAAATGAAAGTGACAAAATCAAAACAACAATGTAACTTTATATACCTATGCCTTATAAACATTGATTTTTATATTTATCTCACAATGATATGTCAAAGATCCAATTAATAAACTATTATATACACCTAATAACTATACTTATATTAAACTCATGGTACATGTACTATATGGTAGATATAATGGAAATCATATCTAGGTACCTATATCGTCTAGGATTCCTCCGATGGTGAATTGAAAACGCCGTGGACTGATGACATAGCACATTGCAATTTCTCTAAATCTTCTAGTTTTGATTTCAAACTTTCAATTTCTTTTCGCATCATCTCATTTTCATTTTCTTTCTCTGCGATCGTATCATTCAGTAATTCCCAATACGATGACGACGGAACTCTTTTTTAGAACGTCTCTATTTCATAAATTGACGGCCTCTTTCAATTTGAAATCCATCAGCTTGAAAGAGTCTTTATCAAAATGGGCCTAAAATTCATCTTTTTTGTACTGTTTCTACAAGTAAATTTGTATGTTTACCTCACATATTGCGGATTCATTGAAATTAATTTTCCATTCTGGACGTTTCATTGCATTCTTCCATGACATTATCTTTAACCCAGCCAACACATTTGTGACATAACATCTCTGAGATGTCGCGCCTAGGTAACAGTGCGATATCACGAACGTTTTATCGCTGCGATGTTCATAAACAAACACATCTGCGACATGACATCTCTGAGATGTCGCGTCTACGTAACAGTGCGATATCACAAACGTTCCATTGCTGCGATGTTCATAAGCAAACACTTTTGCGACATGACATCTCTGAGATGTCGCGATGAGGCAACACTGCGATATCACGAATGTTCTATCGCTGCGATGTACATCAGCAAACATCTGCGACATGGCATCTCTGAGATATCGCGATGAGGCAACACAGCGATATTACCAATGTTTCATCGCTGCGATGTACTGAAGCAAACACATCTGCGACATGACATCTCTGAGATGTCGCGATGAGGCAACAATGCGATATTACGAATGTTCCATCGCTGCGATGTACAGAAGCAAACACATCTGCGACATGACATCTCTGAGATGTCGCGATGAGGCAACACTGCGATATTACGAATGTTCTATCGTTGCGATGTACATAAGCGAACATCTGCGACATGGCATCTCTGAGATATCGCGATGAGGCAATACTGCGATATTACGAATGTTCCATCGTTGCGATGTACTGAAGCAAACACATCTGCGACATGGCATCTCTGAGATATCGCGATGAGGCAACACAGCGATATTACGAATGTGTCATCGCTGCGATGTACAGAAGCAAACACATCTGCGACATGACATCTCTGAGATGTCGCGATGAGGCAACACTGCGATATTACGAATATCATATCGCTGCGATGTACAGAAGCAAGCACATCTGCGAAATGACATCATTGAGATGTCGCGATAAGGCAACACTTCGATATTACGAATGTTCTGTCGCTGCGATGTACGAGTAATACAATATTCGAATTTCGCATAGTCCGTAGGTCCGTCCAAAGTTGCCGATATCATTTCACCCTCGCGAGAATTCCGCATGTATTTTTGAGCTCAATTATGAGACAGGATGAATACAATAGCGAAACAGTTCACTCAAGTCGCTGATCAAATTTAATTGAAGCTACCTCGTTTCGAAATTGTTCTACACCGCTTCGTTCAAGGAATCTACCTCGATCAAAAAGAAGATTGTGGCAACACTGGTCGTGACTCGTGACAGTCGTGACACTGAAACTTGAAAGTTGACACTGAAGGTATTTTATTAGCGTCGTTCCCGTTTCATCATCGTTTCGTTTCACGGCACACGGCACCGGCACGCTTTTCAGTGTTCCTGTTTGTAGTAGTAGAGTTTAAAGCCGGGGTGAGTATAAATAAATTTTCATTTTTCACTTGGAAATTGGAATCACTTGGAACTTGGAACCATGTCAAGGCGTTCTTTTTAATCTTACTCATATCGTCATAAAAGACGATTTTTAATGAGAACATCTGGTATTCTGAATATATCCGATCATGGTAGTCCAAACAATTATTCATCTGTCTCTGACGCCGCCTGTGCATTAATGGATTCTTCAGGAAACATGAGAGCTGATGCTGAAATTTTCTCAGAATTTGTTTCAGAGGAAGGAGTTGCAGCAGATGACAATGATGTGATAATTTCTACTAAAGCCTCGACTAGAGCTAATATTTATATTATATTATATATATATAAAATGATGTCCATATGTGATGTCCAGAAACGATAGAAAATAACATGGATTTCATAACTTTTATATTTTTTGTTGGAGAATCACCTCTCATATTTTGTTTTGTTCATTGTATATTGAAAATAAATGTTTATTCATATTTTTTTCATCAGACTTTTCTTCCCTGACATTTTTTCCTACATTTTACCTCACCTCTGCGTTATAAATGTACATCGCTGTAATGTCATAGGTTTACATCCCTGCGATGTCATATGTATGCATCCCTGCAATGTCATATGTATACATCCTTGCGATGTCATATGAATACATCCATGCGATGTAATATCGCATCACTTGGTAGATTCATCGCAAAAACACTTCGCTTTGCCATCACAAATAACATATCGCAATTACATTGCAAAAAATATATTGCTGCTATATCGCAGAGAAGTTATCGCAGGGACGTCGCATGGAAGAAACTTGAGTGGGACAAAATAACATCCCCTTGACATCGCAGCGACGTCTATGCGACATAGAATGCGATATCGCAGGTCACCATTGTTACATCGCTGCGATATCTCTGTGATGTATCTGTGTTTGCTGGGAAAGGATCATTCGGAAAATTGAATAACTTGAATGACTTTTCTAATGAATTATTGCAATAATGTACGCAGCAGGACATTGAAATAATTTAAAATGCTGAATTTTGGCTGTCATTAAATTTCAAAGTGACAGTGACAGAAATTCGAAATTATTAAAAAAAGCGGGCGGGACGACTATGGTGTTTTGTCTCATTGTCAGGTAGGCAAACCAAATGGAACAAAATATCAAAAACCCCAACGGCTGTCAGTTTTGTGTCCGGACTCTTGTCTAAGGTATATACAGGGACTCTAGTAGAACGGAGACAAAAACAATAGATCTACTACTAAAATAGTAGGTCTGGCAACGATGGTTGACGAACGCCTCTGGTGGTCGACACTGTTGACAAATGACAATCGATAGAAAATCAATAAAAACCGAATGGGCCAATCAAATTTTGTGTCGGACCTATAGCCAATGAGACTTCGCTTTACCCCTCCAAATTTTGGATCTGAGATCCAGCGCATGTCTGTTAAAATCACAACTAAATGAAAAGGCCTATTGAATGGTATATAGATCTCAAAAACCTACCCCTCAATCTGGTACACTAACTGATGTTTCTTGATACATAGTACATGTATGCCAAATTTCATTAAAATGTCTGAAGTGGTCCCTATTACAGATATTAGTAAAAAACTATTCATTTATGAGAACTTTGCCACCCTGTATCTCAGAATGGGCCCAAGAATCGTCTCCTCGAATATTGACATTCAATTTTGAAACGCCCTGTATATAGAACTGAAAATTATGTCACTTATCTGACAGCTCTCCACAACTTTCAATGACACCATCGTCTATTCCCGAAAAAGTTGATATTCTAGGTCAAAAGACCATATTTGGAAAATATGTTCTAAAAGTGGAAAAACTGAAATATAGAGTATTTTACGGCGGCATACAATAACTATTCCATGCTTCATTGTGATTTCAGTATTTATATAAATGTTTTGGGGTTTGCAGGCTTCTATGGGCGGAAAGCCTGGGGCCAAAATCCGAACAAAGGCTCCGCAAATCAGAACGTCACCCGCTCCGAAAGCAGACGCCGCCAACCAAACCCAGATCAAACCCTACACCAACATGCAACATCATATAGTTGGGAATAATAAGTAAGTGCCACAACAGCGGAAAGAGAAATTAATTTCTGAAAGAGTAAGGGAAAATTTCGGCTAAATTAAGCCTTCAGATTGAACATTCTCGATCTTTGATTTATATCAATTTAGTTTGGCACTTATTGCTATATGAATTCTACAGTTTCATCAATTTTTTTTGCAGCAAAAGATTTCATTGAAGTTATATTCCCTTTCTCCTTGTGAATTTGCAGTACCTGCAAAAGTACTCATTATATGTTTTCCAAATTTGGGGATCTTACGTCTGTCTTAATATTTTCGCACCGATTTAATTGACCGTTTTTCTAATCAAAAGTGTGGAAGGAACTCCGAATATATCAGTTTTGAACTTTTTTCTTTCGGCTTGAGAACAAATTAACAAAAGAACATGTTGACAGAAAAAATGATGTACAGGATGGGCCAAATTGGGCAATTCACATGAAAAACTTAAAGGTGAAAACCGCATATCATAGATAGATCATAGATATCAGAGTTACAAGGTGTTTTTCGAAAATGTGTGTATTTGAAAAGTGGCTAAAACTCTTTTTTTTTTGCGAAAATTCTTCGTTTTCCTGAAAACACTCCTAAACCATTGTGTTTGTCATGAAAATTGATCCTCAGACACTGAAATTAGTCACCGTATACCTAATTGCAAAATAGAACTTTTTTTCCTTCAAGAAGAACAAGTAATATTCTTGAACTAGATATAGGAAGGCCGATTTCAGCGCATCGAGATCGATTTTTGTCACAAGCTCAATGCTTTGGAGTTATTTTCATGAGAACAGACAATTTTCGCAAAAAAAATATCTGTAGCCACTTTTCAAGAATACCCATTGGCGAAAAACACATTGTAACTCCGAAACGAAGACAGATATCGATAATTATGCTGATTTCACCATTGAGTTTTTCATGAGAATCGACCCTCAGGCACCGACATCAGTTTTCTTCCATCTGCTTTGAGAATAGGACTTTCCCTTTAAAAGTATTCAATTTGGTCCGCCCTGTACATCAATTACACTTGAAAATTACATATTAAATAAGAAACATTCGCAGTATTGAATGATTTCTTAACGGTGGTTTAGGGTGATCAGAATTCTGAATCTTGAACCACCCTCCCAGATAACACACATACATCCATTGGATGTCCATTTTGAATCCATTAGGTAGCCGGATGTCCATGGATGTCCAATGGACATCCATTGTGTATATGTACAATGGACATAGAGATTTGTACATACAATGGACATCCATTTTGTAGTTGTACAATGGACAACGAAATTTTTACAGCCAATGGATATCCATCATACTTATCCAATGGAAATCGTTTCGCAAAGTATATATGTGTCATTTATGACTCTTCTATTTCAATTGAAATATTTTTACCAATAATATATAATATATATATGAACATTAATCACGGACAACTTCGCACTCGGTACTATTTTTCAAGATTTTATACGTCTCATAATTTTTGTAGGTTACGTACCTACCTACCTTCTGAAATTGGTTATTTTATATCCAATTGAAGAAGTGCGAACTTTGCCTTTGCTATGCAGCCACCGCATTTCACGATTTATATATATGATTCATATGATGTATATAGTTATATATTTATGTATTCATTTATTTCCACATATAATGTAAAAAGGTGTTGCAGCAGCAATAAAAGCCATATTATTATTATTATTATTATTATTATATAGAGGTAGGTACTTATTTTAAAGTTGATTTTCATCCAATTTCAATTTTAAACCATTTAGGCCGTGCAAATAAGATCGATATGGGCAAATATTATACGGCGAGGTTTCTTTCGAAAAAGATGAATCACCCTGTAACACTTCTGATAAGGGCCGTGTAAAAGCTTTATTGCGGCACTAAACTTCAGCAAATTGCATTTTCTCTCGATGTGAAATACCGTGAATACGAAATACTTGCTATAATATTTATAACAGCTCAGTGGTCCAGAGGTTAGCGTTGTGATCCACGAGAGCGGGGTCGGGAGTTCAATCCCCTCAAAGGACAACTTTTTTTTAATTTCTACGTTCTGGCTGGACAAAATTTGGATATCCAATGGAAATCCAATGTATTCCTGATGAGTATCCAATAGACTTATCATTGAAATGGACATAAGTTGGATTTTTGGTAGACATCCATTAGAGTTCTGATGTGTATACAATGGTATTTCAAATGTAATGGACATACAATGGATCTTCATTGGGAATCCATCGGATGTCTGATGAGTATCCAATAGACTTCCAATGGAAAGGACAAATATTGGATGTCCAATGGAAATCCATCAGATGTCTAATGGAAAGCCAATGGACTTCCAATGTATGTCCAAACTGTTGGACATGTATTATCCAATGGATGTCCATTGGACAAATACTGGACAATGCCGTCCATCCAATGGATGTCCAGGGTATCCATAGCTGGACATCCATTGGTTGTCCAATGGATTCACTTGTGTTGTCTGGGCTGTATCTGTTCCGATTAAATATCAGTAAATAGTTGATCAAAAGTTGAGATAGGAACATGTAAGCAATTTTGACCGATAATGAATAGTTTCGACACAAAAAAATCCTAAAGTTGAAAAATCTCGATTTTGAGCACCCGATATCTCTGTAATTATTCTCGATAGATCCCAACTGTGATAGATACATCGATGAAATTAGCTCTTCAGGCAGAATCTAGAAATGCGATAATATACAGGGTGTTCTATTTGAAATATCAATGTTGCTACTACTTTCTAGGAGAAGCGGCTACACTGCATTGTCGAAAATATAGGCATGGGTTTCTCCAGACTGATTCTCTATATAAAGACAGTGTAAGTTCGTCGTGTTAGGCGCGATAAATGTTCGATTTGAATTGCAATGTGTCAAATTAATAAGCCTGAACAGCAATGTCAACATAGTTTCCAAAATGCAGCTCTAGTAGGTAGGTTGCGTTCGGTCCAATTTTCGATTCACCCAATTTTCGATTGGCCCAATTTTCGATTCTGAAGAATCATTCTGGGCTTATATTATTATCAAATATTTCAATTTTTTGATACACATAATATGTATGTATGGTACATATTTCGATTTGCCCAATTTTCGATTCACCCAATTTTCGATTTACCCAATTTTCGATTTACCCAATTTTCGATTCATCCAATTTTCGATTCTCCTCAAATAAGATTCACCTAAATTTCGATTGACCCAAATTTCGATCGACCCAAATATCGATCGACCCGAATTCCGACGTAATATAAGAGAGGAAAATATTCTTTTCTGCATAAGGAAGGAGACTACCTTTTCCAAACTACCTAACCTAATCTTCCTAACCTACCTAACTTAACCTACCTAACCTAACCGAAAATTGGGTGAACCGAAAATTGGGTGAATTAAAAATTGGTCGAATCGAAAATTGGGTCAAACGAGACGTTCCCGCTCTAGTAAACATCCTCTTCTATCCTAATCATTAGTTTTTCCAGAATGCTGGTGATGAACTCGAACGGCATGACCACAACCATGACCCCCGGTTCACCTATGACGGTGGAAAAGGCCCAGCAGTTAGCCAACCAGAACAAGAACGCCCAACAGCAGCAGCAACAACAACAGCAGCAGCAGCAGCAGCAAGCCGTGATGCAGCAGCAGCAACAGCAGCTGCAGCAACAGGTGATGCAGCAGTACCAGTTGCAGCAGCAAGGGCAACAACAGCAGCAAGCACAAGCCGGGCAGCAACAGCAGCAACATATTCAGCCCAAACCGATGATGAGTAAGTGGCTTATTTGTTTATCATGTTATTTGTTTATTCATTGAAAATATTACTTCCATTCAGAAACAAGTTATGGTATAAGAAAGAAGTAATAATACAATATTTATAACAAATTAATGAATGATATAGAATTTGAATTCGTTAAATGTCAAATACGTACAAATCATATTGAATTGGTGAACAAAAACATTCTTTTAAATTAATTGAATTAAATATAAAATGTCACTTTACATAAATTACTTTTTCACCATGGTAGAGATTTGGTATTGATTTTCCAATTCCGAAGATATGAATCTAAATGGTTCCTTATAATGCCTCTGAAGTCTGAGTCCTGATTCTAAAATTGTCCTAAACTATTATGTGGTCAACTGTATCAAAGGCCTTTTGAGAACATTAAAAAATTCTTGTATTAGTTGTAATATTGCCGCATGTGTGCCACTATTTTCTTGAAAACCAAATTGATTCATGTCAAAGCTATATTTTTCATTTAGAAATAAACAATGCATTTTTCAAAAAATGTTTCAACAATTTTGGAAAAATGCTCAATATAACGGGTGACACAGGAGACATGTAACAGCCTGTAGTTTTTTTATTTGAAGAGATAAAAATTTGAAATTCACAAGGGTTATATTATCGATGATGGCGCTTTCCTTGAACCCAATGATATTTTTTTCAACCACCTGTTTGATCGGAAGCAGACCCAACTTTTTTCTTTCAAACGGCACCCTGTATATTTCTGTGGCCTATCTTATTCGCCTCGCGTTTGGCCCGAATACAATGACAATTTTATACTTGATAGGCTTAGAAATTCAATGATCATTACTTAGACGATATTATCAAAATATTTTCCATACCCTAGTCGTTCCCAGAGGATTGCAATACAATGAATAATTGTCAAACTAGACATTTTGTATAAACCGCCTACCAGAGGGAGTGTATAATCTCTGCGCCTACTAAACGAAATGATACTGAAAATACACTAATGTAGACTTATGAACAGATGTATTAGTACGATACATCAATTATTACAACGATTTCAGTTTCATGTATCCAAATGGATGATCATATTATGGCTACATGGCAAAAATGAAAGACAAATAGTTTCTTCACTAGTAGCCAAATGAAAAAAACTGAGTTTCTATCTTAGTTTTCTCAATATCGTGAGTTATTTTCGAATGATTTTTTAGTTTCAATGAAATTATTGGCAATTTTCTGGGACCGATTAGGGTATAGAAAATATTCTGATAATATCGTCTAAGTAATGATCTTTGGATTTCTAAGCCTTCTTCTTCTTCTTCTTTTCTGCACAGGTGGGCGGGTGCGTAGACCCCTGCACTCAGGCCTCTTCAGTCGGGCCCATTGTGCGCCCACTTGTCCTGTGAATCAGCTGGGCATGCCGATTTCTTTGACGAAATTCAGCAGCTTCCTCAGCTGAGTCACTTTCACATCCTTTGGGAGCAGTACAATGCTCCCAAAGGCAGCTTTCCTCTGATGCACCAGCGCGGGGCATTCAGTGAGTATGTGTGATGATGTTTCATCATCCTCCAAGCACCATCTGCAGATGGGATCATCTTTGATCCCTATGAGTTCTAGGTGCCTGTTGAGGTGGTTGTGCCCAGTTAAGAGCCCGACTACCATCTTGAGATCCCTTCTATTAAGTGACAGGATCTCTCTCGTGAGCCTTTTTGAAGGTTCCTTCATATGGAGCTTTGATTGTCTCATTCCTGGTGTGTCCCGCCATGTTTCAAGGAACTGCCTCTGTAGCATTTCCTTCATGAAGGACATAGCCGTACTATTGGGTATTCCCAGTATCGGTTCTAGTACAATGGGTGTCGTTCCTGTACCGATCTTGGCTAGTCTGTCTGCCTCCTCGTTCTCCGGGTTACCAGAGTGTCCTGGAACCCACATGAGGCTGACTTTCCTAGTTTTTGCCATATTTTCTAAGGCACTTCTACACTCGGACACCAATTTAGTTGTGATCCTATTGGATCTCAAATATCTCAATGCCATCAGCCTATCAAGCATCGAAATTTCATTGTATTCGGGCCACAGCCAACTTCACTTATTTCAATAAAATTTCGCAGCCAATTAATAAACGAATATCAAATTTTGATACATAGTTGAATAGAGAATTTGAAGGCGAATAAGATAGGCCACTAAAATATACAGGGTTGTAACACCACTTTGAGTTGTGCAGTGGACAGAACGCTCTGTATCAGGAGCATCACTGATGATAATCATTCTGACAGCGAGAGAGTGACATTAGTATAAAATATAATATAGTTGTTGTCAATATATATGTCATGTGAAAGAGTTTGCAGTCCATTATCTCCACCAAAGTAACCATTCGTTTCCGATATTCATCAGAATCCTAGTGGAACAATTCCTCAGAACCCGTTGCACCACCACCAGCTTGCAACAGGGTGCCATTTGAAAAAAAAAAGTTGGGTCTACTTCCAATGAAACAGGTGGTTAAAGAAAATTGTCATTGAGCCCAAGGGAAGCGCCATCATCGATAATATAACCCTTGTGAATTTCGAATTTTTATCTCTTCAAATAGAAAAAAACTACATGTCTTCCGGTGTGTCAGCCGGTATACTCACAGGGTGTTCTCGAGCTTGATTCAGCCTGATTGTGAAATAAATGAATTCAAAAATATTATTGCCTCCTCATTACACTACTGCAAGTGTAAGGGTAAGGTTAAAATATCATTTTGTTTTCTAGTCCAGACGATTCCGACCTTGCAAGGGCAGCAGATCCAAATGGACGGCAACCGGCCGATCATGCCCGTCGTGTCCATGTCTGCACAGGCCAATCAGCAGGTGCAGCAGCAGATGCAGCAGCAGCAGCAACAACAGCAGCAACAGAACCTGGGGAACCTGCAGCAGGGGATGACTTTGCAGTCTAATTTGGCCGTCACTCAGCAGCCGATGCAGATGAACATGCAGCAATTGCAACAGGTGAGGATTTTTTTCAGTAATGAATAGTAGTTTATAATAAAAAAAAAACTAAGAAAACACGCTTTTATAGATATCGCAGATAGAAACAATTTTCAATATGTTTAAAATATGAATAGAGTAATTTTACTCTACAGTAATGAGTGCATATTACTATGTTCAAATTATGTATTTTTTCAATAACACCCTGTATATTTCGGAAAATTGTTGAAACGCCACTAATTACCAAAGAAATAGTATTGAATAACATTTCCGGACTTATTCTTCTTCAAGTTTGGCAGATGAAAAAATTCAATACAGAAATATCAAGTTCATCAGTAAATATTCCACAGTTAGGTGGACCAAATGTTACTGCTTTTCACACTACATTGAAAGTTGACGTGAAACTAAAATGTGCTCTTATATCCCTTGATCTATGTAAGGCATTTGATATGGTGAACTATGAAATTCTGATGAAAAAAATGGAGTTGATTGGTGTCCAGGGTCACTGTAGCAGCTGGTTTGAGAACTACTTAACCAATAGAATGCAATTTACTTATCTAAAAGAATGTAAAAGTGATCACAAAAATTTGAAATGTGGTGTACCACAAGGCTCGATCCTGGGCCCCACTCTCTTCTTGATATACATAAATTCTATAGCAACCTTGGAAATCATTGGAGATGTTATACTATATGCTGATGATACCACAATTGCATATTTCGGTGAAACTCAGCACAGTTATCGAGAATATCAAACGAGATTTATCACGGCTGCCACAAAACTTACATTGAATATCAAAAGAGCATCTTCTTTGTGGATAACCAGAAGCAATGTTCCTGATTTTGTTAAGAATGAAATAACTTGTCAAAGTGGATTACTTCAATATAAAAATGAAATTAAGTTCTTGGGACTGATAATTGACACACAGCTATTCTGGCAAGCAAATCTAGAACATGTTAGAAAAAAAAAGTTGGGCCAGTGGGTATACTGAGAAGATTAAGCTACTCGGTCCCAAGTTACATTCTGAGATATGTGTAATTTTCCCTAATACATTTACATTTGCAATATGTGACAATAATTTGGAGTAATACATATGAAAGTTATTTAAACCCAGCATATATTACTATTATACAAACTAGGGTATATTCACTCAATTGATTCAGGTTTGAATTAATAATCTAATTATTATGTCCAATATTATGTAATTTTTGAAACTATAATGAGTTGTAACTAGTAACAGAGGTGTTTATAGATGACATTTTTATGTTTTTTGGAACGTAATAAATTCATTCATTCATTCAACACGCAAAAAAATCATCACACTGAGTTTGAGTCACATCAGAAAAGTGTCAGAAGAATTGAGGAAAGTTTAAATCTGAATATAATGATTCAAATATATTATCTAGTGGTTGGCCAGGGGTTAAAAGGGGTTGAATAAAATTTTTGATCAAATGGTTGACACATATTTTTAAAACAACATATGAATCATAATTTTGTTAAAGATTCAATGTCACACCATTTGCAAGCAAGAGGACTGTGCATATCAGGAAGCATATTATTAAAATACATGATATATTAGTCAAGCTGCATTTCATCTGATAATGAATTATTATTATTATAAACAATACCTACCTCATTTGATTCGCGTCTGTATTAGCGAAATAGATTCATAACATCAGTTGGTATTTGTAATCGAGTGATAAAGTAGTGTGTGTGTATCATGCCAAAAGGAAATATTTATATTTTATGGGTAGGTAAAAAAGTTCATCTAAGGCATTTTTTGTATATGATGATCACATGATATCACCTGTGTCATAGATTAAAATCATAGTAATAATGCATTAGAACAAGTTTTTTTATATAAATTCAATATAAAACCAAATAAAGTCAAACAAATCCCTAAATCTATTTTCTATTTTCAAAATAATAACATAAGCTTCTCCGAATATAATCTCCAAATGTATATGATTTGTAAAAAAAGAAATCTACTGGAGTTTGAAAATTAAATAACTATAGTCTCAAAAATTCTTGGAATTTTGAGATCGGTTCAAAAATAACTGAGCTATAGAGGGGGGAATATTTATGGTGAATCACCCTGTACATAGATATTACCTGGAAATTTGGTTATCTTCTGTTCACTTCCCATGGACTGAAGAATACCGGTATTTTTTTACCATTTCCTACATAATTTGGGAGATCTCTGTGAGCAATTGAGGAGGCTAAAATATGCTCTTCGTTCCCCTCCCAACATTATTTCAAAATAAACTAAGAGAACTCTTTTTGTACCAAAATTTCTTGCTTGAAAAAATCACAATTATTGTTATTTCAGTTTATTACTAGTTTATCATGAATGAATTAAACTGCTATTCCGGAATTCTCAAAAACAGGAAACTATACGATTTGGGATTGATTGAATACCTCCACATCAGGAACCGACAACTAAGATATGAAATCGATCGTCAATATCAATTTCAACGAAAAACATGACTTAGCAATCATTAATCGTATAGAATATGATCAGGTTGAGCTTGGAATGCTTTTTTAATCAATTGAAACTACCCAGGCAAAATGAGAAAGCGATTTACAGGGTGATTCATTAAGAATGGGAAATCTCTGAACTACAGATAGTAAACACAAAAATAATGAGAATTAGCCCAACATGCCTCATAAAAATATTGCTGGTTCAAGAGATACAGGGTGGTTAAGGAGAAAATATTTTGGAATAAAATCTTCTCCTCAACCACCCTGTTTCTCTTGAACCAGCAATATTTTTAAGAGGCTTGTTGGGCTAAATCTTTATATTTGGGGGTTTAGTATCTGTAGTTCAGGGATTTTCAATTCCTAATTTGATAAATAAAATTATTAAAATGTTATAATTAGAACATAAATCTCTTCAAGAGCGAATAACACAAAAACCGTCGAAGTTAGACAATTTGATAACAAGTACATTTTTATGTGAAATTGAATGAGCTTTCAGTTTATCCACTTATTTTGATCATCAATGAATTGACATAGAAGATATGATGTAAATTATCGAAGTAATAGAGTGCCACTAGCCCCCTCTATGAGCAATCACAAAATAAGTTGCAAATTCATATTCCTCATGTCACAAAACCTAGAACTACAAGGTTTCATGTTCATTTTCATATAAAATCTCCCCATATAGAACACCCTGTATCTCCTAAACCAGCAACATTCTCATCAGGCATATTGGGCTAAATCTCATTATTTTTGTGTTTACTATCTGTCGTTCAGAGATTTTCCATTCTTAATAAATCACCCTATATAATGTAGTTAGAGAACATCATAAATGAATTTGTCATTCTTATTTCGCCCATAGCTTCAGCAAATGGCCGGCCACGGCGCGATAATCGGCCAAATCCAAACGTCCCCCCCTCAACCGTCGGCGATCCCCCACGCGGCCCCCAGCCCTACGCAGCTGCAGCAGCTGCAGCCCAATGCGCCGCAGCCCATGGCGATAGCGCAAACGCAACAGGTGGCCCCTCTGCCCCCCAGCATACCCCCAGCCAAGGAGACCGCAACGGATGCCTCCGAGGGGACGATCGGGAATTCGGGGGTCTTGGATGGTCCCAAGGACGCAGGAGTCAATTGTGAGTGTTTATTCATTCATTTTTCTTTTTCTATATATGAACTTTTCTTTCATGGAACTATAGATGTTTCGTTGGTGAGGAAAATGGGGGACTCTGCTCCAAATAGCCAACCTAAATTCCTCTCTAACCACAGCAATATCATGCTGTGACGGGAAAAAAGTTTGAAATTTCATCTCTGTTGTAGTTAGTACTTTTTTTTGATATATAGGTGTACTATTGATGGCTTTTGTTGTGCCATAACTATATTATGGTGAAATCTGATTTTAGGAGTCTACTCTGCTTTCAAATGAAAGTAATTCAGAAGAAAAAATAGTTTTTGTGAACTTCACATCTGACTAGTTGAATATCATGTTGGTGCATCTGTGGTACGTCAATATTGAGATGTCAATACTTTCAGAAATGTCAGTATAGTGTCACGAATAATTACATGGTATGGTATATCAATGAATCGCTAAATCAGTAAGTTCGAATAACGTTCGAACTTTGAATTATGATCAATAAACTGTCATGAGAAACGTGCAGACCTATAATAAACTGGATGTGAGGGTTCCAAAGTTATTTGGGACTCATTGTAATCTTAATCAACATAACATTGTTTATTTCTGACAGTGACATTATAAGCTTATATCGTCATAGTTACGATATCTATTATGAGGGTCATAACTCCCTTGGGATGTTATAGATGCTATAATTCCCTCTAGCTAAAATTAAATAAGAAATGCATAGCAACAACCACGCAATAACGTAGCAATAAGGAATCTCCTATTCGCGGTAGTCAAGAGTTGCGTTTTATTTGTTCCATTCTGGTAGCGGTGGTGGGAACAGAATGACGTTTACAAATAGAACGAGAAACTTCATAACATTGCTTGAGAGAATTTACATAGGAGGTTATATTTGTATATGGGAGATCCAAATAATTTCAAAAGCATAATCAAGCATAATACTAGAGTTAAGAATCTAGAAAATGAATCAACTAATATTTTGAACAATGATTGTGGTGATTGAAGAAACTTCTCTGAGATCAAAAGGGTTTATTTTATTTGGGAATGAACATATGAAACCTGTCTTACTTGGAAGAATCATGAACTAGTGAAACTCACGCTGAAAATGTCTTCTCAATGTCTTTTACTTCCAAAAAAGTTCGTTTTTCGTCAATCTAATTTGATTTTTCGACACCTGTCAACAGTCATTCCACATCATTCCTTGTAAAGAGATAGAAAGGAAAGTAGCAACCGGAATCGGAAAAGTTGCAAATAAAACGACACATCAAACTGATTCCGGTGGCGGAATCGGATAAATAAAACGCAACTAAGATCATCATCTGACGTTCTGATGACATTGAAACTATACGGAAAAATATGTCTAACGTCCAATCGGGAAGGTATCTTATGAATGAAATCAGTCAGAAATAAAATTATCTATGTATCACGGGAATTATGAGGGCCTTAATTACCGATGGCAAAGTTTGCCAGAGGCACATGTACTCGAGAAACACCCTGTACATTAATGTACAAACAATAATTTCACATCCATTGGATAATCATCACATAAGGATCAGTCAAAATCCTCCATTTTGGATGTACAGTGTGTCCAGTTTTCGATGCTTTTGCGTGATATCTCAGTTATCTTTCGAAATAGAACATTGCGGTTTTCGCGGTCCTGTACCACTTTTCTGTGAATCTCAAGATGGCCTAATCAGATTTTGCATAACTGTATGCGTTTATGAGATACAGGGCGATTTTGAAAATGTATACTTTTTGGACCCCCTCTATATCTACGAAGTTTCTCAGCGAAAGTGTCAAATTGGAATCTTATCCCATACAGAATTTTACGCAGAATTCAGTGGCGCACTCAAATTTTTTTTCTGGGTATGGTTTCGGAGATACGACTCAAACTTATGATTTTTCAAATGGAACACCCTGTATTTTATAAGCTCATCAAATTCCTAATTTTTTCCATATCCAAATGAAATATAATGAATTGGTATAAAATTTTCAAAAATGCTCCAAAATCACTAAAACATTGAATTTTAATAGTGGGCTATGGATTTTTCATTTAAAAAAAGTTCCAATTGAAGGAATATTTCATTTGATTCTTCAATGAAAAGGACAAAAACAATCCCAACACTAGTTAATTAAGATAACACAAAAATTAGGTACCTGATAGCAACAAATGAATGGTAATAAAAAGTTCATATTCTAGAATAAGCACCTCATTTAATATTCACTAAGACAATTGAATTTCGAAATTAATCAGTTACTTATTCATTGAATTGTTCAAATTGATGTCCACTTTCCCTCACACGCTTTCTCAATACGTCTTAATGCATTCAAAATCTTAAAGGATGTCTTTGTAATTCCTGGAAAACTGTCTCTGTTGTTGCACGAAGGTCTTCAAGATATTTGTGACTCTTACTGTATCAAGACGTATTGAGAAACTGTGTCAATTGTGTTTTATGGAAAATGAACATCAATTTGAACAATTCAGTGAATAAGTTATTGAATAATTCCGAAATTCAATTGTATTCGTAAATATTTAATCTGGTGCTTATTCTACATTATGAACTTTTTATTACTATTTATTTGTTGCTATCAGGCACATAATTTTTGTGTTTTATTAGTTAATTAGTGTTGGTTTTGTTTTTGTCCTCTTTATAGAAAGATCAAAATGAATATTCCTTCAAGTGGAACTTTTTTATAAGAAAAATCCATAGCCCACTATTAAAATTCAATGTTTCAATGATTTCAGAGCATTTTTGGAAATTCCATATAGATACATTATAAATCATTTTGAAGAGAAAAAAATGAGGAATTTTATGAGCTTATAAAATACAGGGTGTTCCATTTAAAAAATCATAAGTTTGAGTCGTATCTCCAAAACCATGCCCCTAAAAAAAATGTTGAGTGCGCCACTGGATTCTGCGTAAACTTTCATATGGGATGAGATTCAAATTTGACATTTTTGCTGAGAAACTTCGTAGATATAGAGGGGGTTCAAAAAGTATAAATTTTCAAAATCGCCCTGTATCTCATAAACGGAAACAGTTATGCAAAATCTGATTAGGCCATCTTGAGTTTCACAAAAAAGTGGCACACGACCGCGAAACCCGCAAGGTTCTATCTCGAAAGATAACTGAGATATCACACAAAAGCATCGAAAACTGGACACACTGTACACTGAATGTCAAATAATGGATCACACCTGTACGATCATTATCGTACGTATAGGGTGATTGTTTATATTCCACTTAATAGCTAAGAATCTCATTTGTTTGTTCAAAGGGTGCAAAAAGATTACAATACAAAACATATATTTTCACAAATGAACTACCCTGAATGTCATTCCGTCCTTGGGTAGAGCTCAGGAAGATGAGTTCAATGATATATGATTACATTTGTAGGTATGAGTTAACCCTTCCGGACTATTTTCATAATCTTCTTCAATAAATAGCCAAATTTAATTTTAATACATAATTAACTATTTTAGGGCTTTATATTTATTGTTACGAAGCTTTTAAATTATTCATTGGATGATTTCTTTCCCCTATTGTTATTTTTTTAGTATTCTCATTTATGATATCGACTGTGATTTCTTCACATTCTTGGGTTATTTTTCATTTCAGGAGAAGGTTGAAACTTCATTATTTCATTCTTATGAAGTCATGTTTGGATCGATTTTTTGCTCTCAAATGAAATATATTCCAATACTTCCTACTGCGACGACCAAACTTCTTTACAAAAGAATTATAAATGATACATGTTGTCTATAAATGGAATAATCTTGAATATGTAACAAAAATGTGACAAGTAATAAAATTGACGACGATATGACATATTTCAGAATGCATCAACATAATTCTCAACTAGTTTTCAACTAATCAGAAATGGAGTTTCTGAATAACTTTTATTAGTGAGCTGAGTAGACTCTTTTCAGGTTAGCTATTAATTGGAGCAAAGTCATCCATTTCAATTAAATGTGAAAAAATCGATGAAAAATCGCGCACATGGTCAACTATTCTCAACTATATTTGACGATTGTTTCAACCTGAATCGCCAAACACTCATGAAATGGCATTGCTTCCATCCATTATTATACTGCCTACGGTACATTTGCACATCGGTTACTTTTGAACTATCGAGGCACTCTAGCCGGATAGCCTTGGGAGCTGGGTCCATCATTGATGAAAAAAAGAAGAAGAAGAGTTGTGGAAAATGCGCTGCCTTCATTCGTTTTTGCGCATCGCACATGCGCTCAATGGCCTTTGTGGTGTGTCATCCGAAATTTTAAAATGGAATTTTCGGTGAATGTTCCTCTGATTTTCGTGTTCGTCAAGAAACCTTGTGATCCAAGTAAAAGTACGATATATTTCAATCAACTAGTGAGAAACTTACTGTTTCATAACCGTTCGTCTGTTTTATCTTCAACAAAGTTTAATTGATTAAATATTGTGATCCTGAGATTTTAAAGTTTTGAATTATATTTAACTTGTGCCTTGTTTTCATTATTTGTAAGATTTTGCGAGCTTCATCATTCGACAAATTTGTGAAGTAACATTGAAGTAGGGAATGTTGTAAAGTTGGAAAGTCGGTTTCATGGACAAATCAAAAGTAAGTCTATAAAAGCCTTTGGTCAGGTTTTTGCTTTTGCAAACATCTATCTACTAACTCTTCATGTAAATTATCTGTTTCAAATTTTTATATTTTGTAACTTGTGACTTGTGATATGATTTGTGTATGAATCTGTCTCAAGTGCTACTATCAAAATTTCATGACCGTGATTCTTCTTTCCATCCATAATATGTATCGTAACTTCAATCTATTTAATTGAACATATATGCAGCATCAAACGGCGGGAACGGCGGGAACCGGATATACTATATAGGAACAAAAATTCATTCATTAACTTTTTTTTGTCTGCTATATCTTTAGGAGAGTTAACTTGTGATATAGGATGTGGGAGTTTCAAAGTTTTAAATTTTTATTACCCACTGTCGTATTTTCAATGTCAGTCAGAACTTTGACTGAGTTAATCATTTCTGGAACCGAGTTTACCTTTTCCGAAATATAACTTACCGATTCCGAAATTGAAGTTGAAAAGGTATAGATGATTAAAAGAGAAAGGAGCTATGATCTGTCCGTACCCAGTTAGATCACAAATACGCCAGTTTGCATCAAGGGACCCTAATCCAACCGATCTCTTGCAGCCTCAACCTCCCAGCCGGAAATGAAAGAGCAGCCCCAAACGGCCGAAACGAAACCTTTGATAAACGGCGTGGAACCCACTGTAGTCCTCCCGGCGCCCATTCCAGGCACCGTACCCTCCCAGCCGTCGAACCCCTCCTCGGAAATCGTCCACCCTGTAGCAGTCACGGCCGAAGAAGTGAAGGAAAGATGCCCGCCCAAGGCGATGGTCAAGCCGCAGGTATTTGAATTTTTATACAGGGTGGACCGCTCGGTGTCCCCATATCTATTTATACGAAATTTGAAACAGTACCCAATGATTGAATGAAAAACTATACATTTTTATTTCTGTCTCTAATTAATCAATTAATTTAATAACCATATTATTTATTTCATATACCTTACAACAAGTCATACTTCGTAGGGTTTTCTTTGTTTATTCAATACCAATATGTATACTTTTAATTTATATTATGTCAACGTTTTGAATATTCCTTGAGCAATCTTGAGTCGAAATTCGAAAGTGCCCTATAAACTCTTGTCTAAAACTCGATATTCAAGGAGTTATGATATGTAAGTTTTGTTCACTATTTGTAATTTCAATTATACAACAGTCGATAATACTTCATGAATGATCTTATACCAGGAATTACTGTCTGATCATTCATGTCATTCCTATTAGAAAATTAATTATACTTTATATATTATTTGTATGAAATGTATCAATGAAGAGAAGAATGTAATGCAATAACTGAAATAAATAAATAAAAAAAATAAATGACAAAGAGCTCAATTAAAGCTTCTGACATTCTTGATATTATTGGAACTAACGAAATCGGTCGGTAATTAGTTGTCTCTGTGATATTTCCAGGTGCTGACGCACGTTATCGAGGACTTCGTGATCCAGGAGTCTTCGGAGCCTTTCCCGGTGACCAGGAGCAGTTTGCTAGGAGATGTCAAACCCACGCAGAGTTCCGGTGACAAGGATTGCGATGAACCGCCAAGTGAGTGTTGTGGGCATTATTGTTTTCGTCGATCGTCCGGGAAGATTATAGCCTAGCCATAGCACCACTATACGGGAAATATTGCCACGGTGGCAAGTCGAGAGCGTATGAAATGGGGGAGACCACTGATTTTTTAAAATGACATTATCGTGAACTCTATACTGGAAAACTACCAGCGAATTAATTTTGAATTTTGTCATTCATGCTAAGACGATGGAAAAAATAAATCAGAGTATGTCCATTTCAAAACACACAATTCCTGCGCCATTTGAAATTTTGTCAATTCATTGGTGTGACTGGTGCGACGTCTTATTCCCAACACGCCTATTGTCCTTGAACTGACCAATCACACTGCAACACTGCAGAATGATGAGGTATCAGAGAGAGATAGCTACAGCTCGGTACTAATACGTCACGACTCCACCATCATATTTGGCTGTTTGAAATATCGAATGAAATATGCTGATTTCAAAACGATATAGATTCGATTCCCTTCAACTTTAACTCATAATATTGATTGTACATCAAACGTAAATCATGATTCGTCGATTGAAAGAGGTTTGCACGGATTTTTTCTCTCAGTGGTCTTCCCCATTGTTTTGTAGTTTGTTTAGCCAGAAGCGTGGTGGTCATCACAGTAGTGTTCCTTCCTCCGTAAACATGGATCTAGGAGGAAAGCCAATAACCCTTTTCATGACTATTTTATAGTCATCCTCCCAGATATCACAGTCAATATTATCACACAGTGTTTTCCAGCTTGATCTTTTTGATTTTTTAATCGCGTTCCTGAGCTTCTTCTTTGTTTTTTTTTTCAAAGTAATCAATCGAAAAAATACTATGGAAGCATTTATTGGTTAGGCCGATAGTGATTCGCTATTTCAATTATTATGTTTCTTCTCAGGATCGGCGGGAAATTTTCAGTTTCTAGCGCCCAGCGAGCAGCGAGCGAGGCGCAATATTACCTCGCTATGGTGCTATGGCTAGACTCTAGTTCCGGGAAGTACCAACTTCCCTGGAGATTTTCCTCTTCTGGCCTGGTCCGGGAAGTAGGTGTTTTGTGGACCAGGCCGGAAAGAACTGCATCATTATTGTCATTGTTACCTTCATAAATGATGGATTTCAAGGTCATCAATTGACGTTGCGGTGACGTTTTTGCGATGGTTAACAATCAAATACACTGTGTTATTATACAGACTTTGAAAGATTTCTCATCAGATTTGGATGTATAGCCAATGCGCTGTTCATAGTTGTTAAAAATTGCGAATAATCATTTAGGTCTCCAGAAATTATTCTAGTTATCACATATTGACTGTTTTCGGTAACTTTATTATGATAGAAGAATTGAAAAAAGTACTAGGTACATATATATTTAAAAAAACGACTTGAGTCGCATTATCATGCATGTGGATGAAAATAGTAACTTATTATACGAGGGAAAAAAGTAGTAGAATCTAGCTCGAGGGAGACAAAAAACCGTGAGCTAAAATCAAATAATTTTCCCGTGTAATATAATGAAATATTTTTTTCTGTGACAGGTGAAAGAACAAATCAACATCGAGAAGATATTTCATAATATTTAAATCAGAAAATTATCGATGTGAAATTTGAAGTTATCAACAGAGGAATCACGCCTGCGTTGCAAGCATCTTTATCATTCGTTTGAAGTAATCAAATATCTGTCAGTCTAATTCTGCGAAGTGAAATGGAAGATAGAAGGACTTGTGTATATATATATATATATATCCGTTAAAAAGTTCTCTTTCCTTTGTCATTGGAAAAATCTTGAAATTTCAAATGAATATGTTGAAGTTGTGAGTTGATTAAGTCGGAATTCTAAGACAGTGGTCCCAATTGAATTTTCAAGAAACTTGGAATTTCTAGTCTAATTCGAAATTTCCAGTCATTTGATCTCCTACATCTTCTTGTCATTCCAAGGTATTTTCTCTCATTTTCTCAAAATATCAACTTTTAATTCATAAATTCAAATATAAATCCGAATCGACCTCATTATTAAAACACCTTACCTGACCTTCGTCATATCGATTTTCCATGGAAATCTATTAATATACCATTCCATCCTTTGTTCTAGGAAAGAAACGAGCATCTTCTCCGTACGGTATCGGCCTGGGGCTGAAATCGGATATGGCAAAGTGCGAAGCATGCGGTACCATCGACCACAAATCCAAGTTCAAGAAGAACAAGAGGTTCTGCTCCGTGGCTTGCTCTAAAAGGTATTCATTCTGTCTGGAATTTCAAAGTGTTTGCAGCTCAGTTTTCAAGATATTTGGGTTTTTTCTATTCATAAATGAAAACCCAAAGTCATATCCACAACATTTACTAGAATCGTCAAAGATCAATCGTAAACTCCTCTGTACACTTTCAAAAATAATAGAAAAACTTGTGAAAAAGAGGATGATGTCATATTTAAAAAAACACAAAATATTGTCGAAATGTCAGTTTGGATTCCAAAGCACAAAAAGTACCTCTGATGCAATTTTTTCGTTTCTTGAGAAGGTGTACCTAAGTTTGAATGAAGGAGAAGTGGTTGCAGCAGTATTCTGTGACTTTTCAAAAGCCTTTGATTGAGTCGACCACAGAATACTGCTGAAGAAACTATACCATTATGGATTCAGAGGGGTTGCTTTCAAATGGTTCGAATCATATCTTACTGGTAGAAAACAACGTGTAAGGATATCAAGTGAAACCTCGAGCTATTCGGAAATCAGGTCAGGGGTTCCTCAGGGATCAGTGCTGGGCCCAATCTTGTTTTTGTTATATCTGAACGATTTGGCATATTTGAATATAACAGGAAAATTTACAATATTTGCTGATGACACTACCCTCCTATGGCATGGGAAAAATGTAGAGGGCCTCAGAAACGTTATATCCCAGGAATTAAAGGAAGTTACATCATGGTGCAATACTAATTCTCTGTTTTTCAATGCAAATAAAACCGATATTATAACATTCAAGTTCCAGTATGAAAATCTCATAATTAGTAATATTCAAGTTGAAAATAAGGCTAGTACTAAATTCCTTGGCTTATACATCGATAATAAACTGAGATTCGATATCCACGTCACGTCATTGAGAAAGAAACTCGCATCCGGATGTTATGCTATTAGAATTGTATCAAATGAGCTTGGCAAAGATATAGCAAGAATAGCCTATTTTTCACTGATAGAATCACATATCAGATATGGCATAGCTTTCTGGGGATTTTGTAGTCCTAATTTATTGAAGTCGGTATTCACGTTACAAAAAAGGGCAGTAAGATACCTATGCAGAGTTAGAGCAAGAGACCATTGTAGACCACTATTCATCCAACAAAAAATTCTGACTCTAACATGCATTTTCATCCTTGAAACGACATGTCTGATTCATACCAAACAGTTTCCTAATGCAAATATTGAGACTCATCATATATGCACCCGAAATGAAAACAAAATTTCTCTGCCAATACCAAAAACATCTCTCACAAAAAATTCAGTTATATATGAAAGCAAAAAAATGTATAACCATTTGCCAGAATATTTGAAAAATACAAAAAACCCCAAAATATTCAGGAAGGGTATTAAAGACTTCCTCATTCCAAAGGCATATTATAACCTGCAGGAATTTTATGATGACAAATTTCAGATCAGGAATAACCGTATGTGATATTATATTAAGAGTACTTATATATTCATTCAGTTATATCTATTGTTAGCTATATCATATATGTATGTATCTGTAATTGTTTTTGTTTATGCATTGTTTTTGTGTGTCATATACGAATTTTAATTGATAACTTCCTATACATTATGTATAGTTATACCTATTTTATTTTGTACTGTACTGTGATAAAAAGTATTATTATTTTTTTTTTTTTGACGAAATGGATCGTTCCACTACATGTATCTTTCAAGCTTTGTCAATAAGAAAAATGTTCTTGGACAATAAAGCACAATAAAGCACAAAAAAAAAAAAAAAAAAAAAAAAAAAAAGGAAGATGTTTCGGGCTCATATAAGCCCATCAGCCAAAAGAAAGTATTATAGTTATGGAAATGAAGAAAGTAGACATACAAATAGTATAGTTAATAACAGTGCAAACAGGGAAATATGCTCCATGATTGTCACTTTATCGGTTAAGGGTCGGGTACCGAAAGGTGATAATTAAACTTAGAAAAATCAAAACCTGATGAAGTGCATTTCTCTAAATGAAATGATTATTATTATTTCAATACATGTTTGGTAAAGGCTTCTACACAATTGAAGTTTTTTGTTTTTAGTGTTCAGTTTTATAATTTAAGATATAAGTATGATGAAATGAACACACGGGTCCTTGTGGCGAATGACAGCACACATATTTATGAATTATGAAATAAGTTTGATGTGTAAGATACGGACGCGATCGTTTTTCATGATTTATAATTTAGAAACCCAACCAATCACAGCAATTCTTGGTGTTGTTAAGAAGCATAAAAAGAAGGCACATTTTCATGATTATAATAACTTTGATTATACCGACATAATAACCGAAAATAATACTCTGAAATTATTGAATGTCCTGGGAAATACCGCAAAGTGAAAAATATTCTGGTTTTTGCCACGACTCTCAAACAACCTTATTGGTGGAATTCCAAATTTTATATTGTTTACCTATAGGTATATAATTATCTACTTCTTTATACCAGAGTCTATTCTGTCTGGAAGTTATTTGTTCGATGAATAAATGAATAGGAAAATTATTTTAATTATGTATTGCATCCTGCTTTGATTTTTGTTACATATACCTTAAATCTCGATGACATTTATTGCATAAAACTTTTGTGACGGAGCCTTTAGTTAGAATGAATCAGATGATTTGTCGCAAAATGCCACTGCATCGAAAAAATGATACTGTTATAAAACTTAAAAGACAAATTCCTCATTTGAAATCAGAGAACTGTGATTTTGAAGTCATTACAAGTTTGCCATAACTTGTACAGCAACAAAACGGTATCTAACATTTGAAAGTTGTTGTTGTTCTTTATTATTCCAAGAAACATATTTGTTCCCTAGATACATACAATGTTTATAGAGGGAAACAAAAAAAATCAAATATGCAATACAATGAAAGATAAACAGTTCAATCAGAATCAATTGATAGAAGGAGAGAATTAAATTGATTGAATATGACAACCAACCTTGTGAACAAATCATTGATGGCGTTTATGTGAATTTTTATCAAACTTGCGTTGTCATAAAAGTAAAAAATAATAATATTTAGTTGTGATTCTGTGGAAATGCCGCGATTTGGAGAGTCTTTGAGTGGAGAAATTGAAAAAAAAACATCAATAATAATGTGATTGACATATTCATCAAATTGTCTTACCAAATCACACTCAAGCATTTTCATGGGTCAAGGCATTTCACATCTATAATTCGATTTCAGTTGCCTACGTCCTACGGAGTCATAGTCTTTTTTTTTTTTTTTTTCGTTCAATTTCCAGGCAACAAAATTCTCATTGAAATGTCAATTTTACTTCGACAAAACAAGATCTTTGAAATTTCCACTTTTCTTTAGAGAACTCTTCGGTAACGAATCTGCTCTCAAGCTTTTCAAAATCATAAAAACAGGAAAAATCATCCTTGAAAAGTGTCTATCTACATTATATCAGTTGTGCTCCGAGATTTCAACGGTGCATTATACTTTTTTTCAGTGGGAAAACTAAGTCTGAGAAAATGGAAGTCGATACGGAATCTGGTGCTTCTGGTGCTGAGAGTAGTCTCAGTCCAAATGCGGAAGAGGATGATACTCCGAAAGTGGATCCCATCAAATGGAGTGTGAGTATAATTTTTCTAGTTTTACCAATCTTATTCCAAAAAAATACCTATCCGATATTTTTGGCTCTTGGTTGTACAGCTGTGCTCAAACAAACAGGAAATCTATAAATAATGGCAAACGAACTATTCATCGGTATTTTATAGTATATCATGAACTTTTTGGGTGCATTCAATTGATGAAAACCTATTTTATGATTCGAAAGTCCTGTTGAGGAAATAGCAGTTGAAATCATGAAAGTTTTCATTGTGATAAAAAACTCAATGGAAATTGGGAAAATTTAGGTTCCTGCATACAGTTGTGCTCAAAAGAAAGGAACAACTAAGTTGTTTGTAGAGATTATACACTAATCTCTGGATATTGTGTTCGCCCTCTAGACGTAATGGCGGCTTAAGTTCCGTAATAGAGACTTTTGAATTGATCTGAATAAGTTTAGAACTTGTGGGAATTATTTCAGGATCACTCGCAAATGGTGACTCATATCACCTGAAAAAATGTGAATATAGGTTCCGCAGCTGAACATACAAGAAAATTGTGATATCTCCGTGTACAGTGTGTTCCTCATGTTTTTGAGATACAGGGCAAAGTTGAAAATTCTCACTTTTCGAGCACCTCCCGTACCTTGGCTACTTTTCAATTTATCGCCAGGATGAGAACGGGCCCTTATATAACTTTGTATGTATAATAATACAATGGCGTACTCATTTTTTTCTGCAATCTCTAATCATTAGAAAATTGAGCCAAAATATTTTTTTATTGGGACACCCTGTATATTTGTATCCAGTTCGATTCAGGTTTCCTATAGCTCATCAAAAATACAGGGTGGCCCACGGTCGATGGTACCTTAGACGTATACGGAAAACGGTACATTGGATTATCCTGAAAATTTGGTTACTCTAATAAGCGTTTGTGATCTAACGATTCAAAATATTTTCAGCGAAACAGCGTTGCCACTTTTACCAAAAAGTAGCATCATCTTTGTTATTCCAAATGGAACACCCTGTATTTCATCGCGTTTTGGATTCTTCTCGAAGAGCTGATTTCATCAATGTATCACACTTGGAGTCTAGCAGGAATTATTACAGACCACACATGAAAATCACTTCAGCAGTCACAAAATGAATCATGAACATAACACGAGACTAAAAAACAACTATAGTTACCCAATCCACAAAAAGTGTATTTTCGAAACAAGTCCACTGTACAATGCAATAAAATTTTATAATAATCTTCCGGATGAGATAAAAGCTATTCAAAATTCCAAAAGATTCCTTGGCTCGGTACGGAATTACTTACTCAGTATGGAGCCATACTCAGTCAGTGATTATTTTTAATCTGTGGTAATGTTTTATTTCTATGCTTATTTTTTTTTATTGAATGTTTATACTAGATTTTAAACTGTATGTATGTGACTTACTTCTCAGGCGCGTAAGACAACTCTGTAGAAATGAATAAATTATCTATCTATCTATCTATCTATCTATCTATAGGGTGTTCAAAATCGAGATTTTTCAACTTCAGGATTTTTTGTGTCGAAACTATTCATCATTGGTCAAAACGGCTCACATGTCCCTATATTAACTTTTGATTAACTATCTACCGACATTTAATCGGAAAAAATACAGGATGGTCCAAGATTCAGAATTTTGATCACCCTGTATCTGTTTCAATAAAATGTCAGTAGATAGTAAATCAAGAGATAGGATAGGGACATGGAAGCCGTTTTGACCAATAATGAATAGTTTCGACGCAAAACAATCTTAAAATTGAAAAATCTTGATTTTGAATACCCTTCATCTCTGTAATCATTCTTGCTAGACCCCAAGTATGATGCATTGATGAAATCAGCTCACAAAGGAGAATGCGAAAATGCAACGAAATAAAGGGTGTCCCATAAGAAAAAGTATAACTTTGATACGCCACGCATTTCTGAGATACCTTGTATAAAGCGAAATAATTTGGAAATGTGCTGCTCATGATCCTTTGAAATTTTGTTCATCTATCTCAAACAGTAAAGCCGTTATCTCACTTTGCCACACCAATGACTCACCCTGTATACTGGCGGAATAAACGAAAACTGTGCGATGTGCTTACTGTGCGTAAAGAGCTACTTACTGAGGCTGTATCTCGTGTGTTCTTGCCTACTTTCTATAGTGGCCGTAGGTAAATGAAAATGCCGCACTTCTACAATGAACTGCGAGAACGACCACTTTATTCTATCGAGGATAAACGTAGACTGACTAATACAATTCCATCTTATATCACCTCAACCTCAATAATCTACCAAAAACTGTATGAATCACAAAACGATAACGATGATCACATACCTTATAATAATAATAGTAATAATAAAGTACAAAATTGTGGCGGATGCTATGTACAGTTGTGTGCATAAACAAGTCGTACAGCAGTTATAGGCTATTGTGAGTCAGGCTTGTCCATCTCGATAATTCTTCTTAACGACTTTGACAAGCAGTGTCAAAATTCAAACTATTTTTGTCAGTAACGCGCAAATGTGTACACGTACTACTTTTTAATGAAATCTGAAACATCATAGGCAGGTTTACACTATATAAACCTTGTACGACTTGTTTTTGCACACAACTGTACGTTGCCTCAATTATTGGCATTCAATTACTTCACTGTGTGGTAAGGGACCTAAATTAATTTTTGCAACACTACTCACGCTTTTTTTTACAAATAATGAGTATGCGTTGTTCAAAATTATTGTTGAATTTCAGAGCACATTTCAAACGTACCGCCATGGCCGTCATTTGGCGATACGTCGAATAAATGATGACGTCAGTTTTTATGTTGGTTCCTTATTGGTCAGATTCCATTCCCACTCATGAAGCAAGGTTGTCAAGTCACCAATTACTATCAAGTTATCCAAAAGATGTTAGAGTCTCGCCGTTGAATATATTATCATATCATTATAATTTTGTGGAATAAATATGTATAATAGTCTACCCAACAGAATAAAATCTAATAAGTTCGTCACAAAATTCAAGAGTGAACTGTATCAATTAATTCTGATTGAACTACTTATCTTTTATTTTTACAATTAGTGTCAAAATTCAAACTATTTGTGTCAGTAACGCTCAAATGTGTACAGGGTGATCTACCATAAATGTCCCCCCTCTAGGTCACTTATTTTTGAACCGATTTGAAAATTCCAAAAATCATCTGAAATGATTTTTCAGAAATTTTTTCCCGTTGCATCAGAAAATACAGGGGACTCGGAACAAACGATCTACAGAGTACTAATTGATTTTTTCGAATGGAACACCCTGTATTTCATTGTATTTTTAGATTCTTCCTGAAGAGCTGATATCATCAATATATCACACTTGGGGTCTAGCGGGAATGATTACAGAGATAAAGGGTGTTCAAAATCGAGATTTTTCAACTTTAGAATTTTTTGTGTCGAAACTATTCATTATTGGTCAAAACGGCTTCAATGTCCCTATCTCAACTTTTTATTTACTATCTGCTGACATTTAATTGGAACATATACAGTGTGGTTCTAGATTCATAATTCTGATCAGTCAGTCAGTCACCCCAAGTGTGATGCATTGATGAAATCAGCTCTTCAGGGAGAATCTAAAAATACAATGAAAAATAGGGTGTTCCATTGAAAAAAATCCAAAAGTACCCTGTGGATCGTTTGTTCCAAGCACCTTGTATTTTCTGATGTAGCGGAAAAAATCTCTATCGAAAATCATTCCAGATTATATTTAATATTTTGCAATCGGTTCAAGAATAACTGAGCTAGACGAGGGGGACATCAATGGTGAATCACCCTGTACGTGTACTACTTTTTAATGAGATCTGGAACATCATAGGCAGTTTTACACCATACAATCTATACATACCTATGTTTCTTGGGATCAATAATAGTTATTTTCCGTCGACCTCGTATTAACGACCAAGTTTAATGTATATGAAATCGTTCATTAATGACCCCTATTAATGAACGATTTAACTATTAATGCACGATTGTTTTATAGGCAACCAAACATACACCGCGTGCATTCATTGTTTATGCTATAACTTGCGGAATTTGCATTTAAATCGAAAATATGGATTTCATGGAAGATTTTCCGTTAACGGGTTCGCCTTTCCAAGTTTCTGACACGATTTTAATCCCTGTTTTCTAACACAAGGAATTTATTTTCTATGTTGATCATTTCGACAATTATTGTCAAATGTCACTAAAATGTCAGTAACAAGGCTACTGGGTGATTCTTAGCAGTTTCCGGATGGATGATGAATTCTCGAACCAAGTTTTCTTCATTGCAGGAGAAATGAAAAATATAGTCGACGGAAAAATTTTGTAAACAACTTGTATATTAAAAGGCGATTAATGATCTCGAACATTAATGCACGTTAAAATATCTCGATCATTAATCGCCCTCATTAATACACACTTTAACGGAAAATCTTCGATAAAATCCATATTTTCGATTTAAATGCAGATTCTGTTAGTTATAGCATGAACAATGAATGCACGCGGTGTATGTTTGGTTGCCTATAAAACAATCGTGCATTAATAGACAAATTGATCATTAATAGGGGTCATTAATGAACGATTTCATAAACATTAAACTTACTCCTTAATACGAGGTCGACGGAAAATGTTACTATTATTATTATTATTATTAAACCTCACCATTCTCATCGTTCCGGCATTGAATTCCGCATTTTCTTTCCAGGTCCAGGAGGTTTTCGACTTCATCAAAAACCTGCCGGGCTGCTCGGACCTGGCAGAGGACTTCCTCATCCAGGAGATCGACGGGCAGGCGCTGATGCTGCTCAAAGAGGACCATCTGATGACGGCGATGGGCATGAAACTGGGGCCGGCGCTCAAGATCGTCGCCAAAATCGACGATATGCGGATCGACAAGGAGCCCGGCCAGGCGAAACAGTTTTGAGACGACAATGGGGGCGATTGGGGGTTGTAAAAAGTTGTACATTATTTATTTATCTCATCCTTCGAAGACTGTCCATGAATCTGAGTATGATTTTACGACGTCTTATTGGCGCCACGATTCTTTCATTTTGTTTTATCGAGATCTCGGAATTTTAAGATTTGTTTTTTCAGGGCGATTGCACGAATTTCGCGGGATTATGGCGCAGTGTCTTCTTTTTTTAATGAACATAATATGCTCCTTGATGGTTCGTTATAAAGTGCTCAAAGAAACAAGGGGACCACTGAAATATTTGACAATTTTTCAACTGCCGTATCTCTTTGGAAAATGAATGGATTTTCGATCAAAATGCAGTGCTTGGAAGGTGCGATCTTTCTGTTCAATATTCCCCGTTCAAAACTCGTCGGGAGTTTTTCTGTCATTATACACCGAGTGTTTGAAAAAATTATTACAATAATGAGAGAATTCAAACGCTTTTTTTTTTTATTTTTCTATTGATCATTTTCTTCGAACGTTCAATCCAATATCTCGAACGGTTCTGTAATTTTCCATATTCCTCATACAATATGTTCAAAATCGACAACTTTTCATTTTTAGGTTATTATCGCATCATTTCCGATTTTAAAATTATGCAAGCCACATTCAATTACGCAACTAACGAACCCAGTTCTGAAATTTAGTTCAGAAATTTATCACACCATATCTTCCCATTGTACCCAAATGAGTACACCATTGTTTTTTTTGGTTGTGTGGAAAATAATGGAAAATCAAGTGTCACGATGGTATAAGCAACTCGACACATACATACATACATACCTGGTCAGCTAATTTACCGAGTCAAATCAAATATTTCAAGTGCAAAAAATAACTCATAGGAGATGAGCACTTGTTTACACAATCTCTTCAGTTGACATGATCTATGCATATGCGCCATATGTGGGATCATCTCGAAATTTCGAGTTTGTTGTACATTGCGGAATACTATCACGACATGATTTTGCTGAAAAATGTCAATAGATGAAGATAGTAGACCATAATTTGCAGTGTACTTAAATGAGTACAGTGGGATTTAAGGGGTTAAAATAAATCGACTTTTGCGATGAAAAAACTTTGATCAGAAAAATCCAGAAGGGTCTTCTTGCGCCCCCTTGGATTGCCTTATCTGACCAATCACGAAATCAATTCGAGATATTGAGCTGACCAATCGATCCAAATGAAGGATTTGTGTTTAGCATAGCATATGGTTATGGCAGCACAAAATTTGACAGACGATTTCGTCAAATTCTGGACATTTCTCCAAAAAAATTATGTTTTCTTCTGTTGAAGTTGTCGATGATTTGAACGCAATATGAATCTATTTTGTAGGATGTGTTCCGTCGTTTAGAGTGGCAAAATACGTTGAATGTGGCTTGCATAATTTTAAAATCGGAAATGATGCGATAAAAACCTAAAAATGAAAAATTGTCGATTTTGAACATCATGTATGAGGAATATGGAAAATTACAAAATCTTTTCGAGATATTGGCTTGAACGTTCGAAAAAATGCTTAATAGAAAAATAAAAAAAAATTCCCTGGAATACCGATAAGCGTTTGGATTCTCTCATTTTTGTAATACTTTTTTCTGATACCTGGTGTATAGTGACAAAAAAACTCCCGACGAGTTTTGAACGAGGAATCTTGAACAGAAAGATTGCATCTTCAAAGCACTGCATACCGATTGAAAATCCATTCATTTTCTAAAAAGATATGGCAGTTTGAGAATTGTCAAATATTTCATGTGGTCCAATTGTTTCTTTGAGCACTTTGTACGGGACGTGAAGTTTCAATTTTGTAAAATTTCTTGATGGACCTTTCCAGTATTGTAAAAGTCAAAAACGTTATCCCTACCACATATTTATCGGAAATGTCAAACAACAAATGAACTATTTAATATTGAAAATGCTATTTCAATAACCTGTGAATTCAAACGCTACTGAGCTGTGACGTCAGTGTCTCCTTGGAATTTGATTGGTTGGAATTCGTGACGGCACTGTTGCCACGTCTCTATAAAATCCTTGGATTGATCCTATGTGCAAGGAATGCAATGGTTATTGGTTAATTGGTAATTCACTTCTGATCAATTTCAATTCAGTCTGAACTGTGAAATATAAGTTTCAATAAATAAACTACCTGCCAATATTAAAAACTGCAGAAATATAGGTACATTCAAAAATAAAGTGAAAAAACTGATTATCACTGAGTGAACTGGATAAAATCAGTCATGCTATTCTACTATATTTTTTCTATGAGTATTATTCGTTGTTCGCCAATTTATAGTTGTTGATGTATTCTGAATGATGAAATTTTCACATATAGTTATAAAATTATGTACTTCCTTATACCAGATCCTATTCTGTCTGGAAGTTATTCGTTTACTAAATAAATAAATAAATAAGATTAGCTAGGGTAAAATTGATACAGGCATCTAACTTTTGACATGGTTTCCGTTCTGTTATAATCATCAAATGGATTAATTTAACTTTATCTCAAGTACTCATTCTTGGAAAATGTAATTGATAATGTGGCAACCATGTCTACAAGAGAAAGAGATGACGCAACTGGCGCAAACACAATGTTGCCAAGTTGAAATACCTCATTCTTCGCATAACCTCACTGTTGTCATTTCTCAATATTAATGACAAGAAGGCAGTGTTGAATCAGAATGTGTTCCTTTCCTTATGGCAGCTAGGTATAAGTAGGTACCTAGGTAAGTAAAGTAATCTTGAAAGTACTTTGCTGAAATGGGTTCAGAACTGAGTATCATGAATATCTGCATTGTATTTCAATACAAACTGATATTTCACTTTTAATTTTGAATAATCCGCGAACAAACCAATCATCTAATAACTATGCAATGCAATTGTTCAGTATCAGGAATGTTCAAGTAGGTATAGGTATTAATTGAGTTATCTAACAGCATCCGTATTATCGGCTGAAATGCTGAATCGAAAAAAATCGAGAACTAAATATCCGACAAACCATAGTTTTTGTGCAAATTGGCAACATTGTTACGTCCATTGTGCATTCTATTGGCACCTGCGAGATGGTAAAGGCATTACCAATCCAAATTGCTCGCGCACTGACGTCACATGCTTCGCGGCCATGTCTGATCGTTTGAATTCGCTCGTTCATTTTGGCGTTTTCGATCATTTTTTATAGGATGAATTGATGAAAAAATAAATATCTCAGAAAAGGTGTTCTAGAGCCATATATTTTGAGATATATTTCGTCTAGAAATAACTGGTCTACCTAAGTTTTGGTGTTTGAGGAACTTTAGTTTCATTTAAATCGTTGACCGTCAGACCCATTGAATCCTTGCAGATTTCAACTTCTTTTTCCTTTCTGAAATTAGTCATTCAAATAATCTTCATAATTTCGCACGAATTTATTCTCAGATTTTGTGATACAAGGTGTTGCTGTTTCTTTTTGTCTGACATTGAATGAATGTTTCTCGCGGTATCACTTTGCACCATATGTTACAAAATCTGAAAGGAAACTTGTGCTACTATATTATGAATGATGATAAAAAAAAAGAAATGTGCAAGAATTCGATAATTTTTTTACTGACGTTAAAAAAATTTATAATTTATCTTCACCTTTTCACCACCATTTGAAAACTATCGCAAACTTTCTTTATCAAATTGTTCATAGAAAATTACCTCTTCATACTAGATACAGCGACATATCATACTTAATTTGAATTTTTATGTAATAATATAAAAAAATCATTGATTGTTACCGCCAATGTGGTATTGAGCATAGAATTTGAATATGTAGATAACAATACAATGACACATTTTTGCTATTTCAAATACTACCACACTTCAACGTCATTCAAATCTCAAAATTTCGAGATGTTGATGAAATAATATAAAAGAATTGTGGCGCCAATACGCTGTTGTATGATTTTGAACCGGTGGTGATGTTTTTTCTTGAAAGAATGTTTACTTTGATTTCGTTCCTGTAAATTTGTACATTTAATTATTGATTAAAATTGATTCTATAGTGTGTTCGTTGTACAGAGAAGAGTAAGTACACAATTTATATATGAATTAGCAGATATCTTAGATGTGATCAAGGTATTCGGTGGCGAGATTTTTCTTTTTTAAAAAACGAGACGTCTTGAAATTTCGACATTTATTTATTATTGGACTATCATTGTGCAATGTTCATTTTACAAAATCAAGTGTTAGTTTCTAATGTGGATATTATATCATTATTATCCAACGATATTTGTTACTATACTGCCACTAATGATAATAAATTTGTAATTTGTAATTAGTCTTTTTTAATTCTCAACCTTATTCCTCATTGGCGTACTAATATTATTTCTGTAATCTCTCATTCTTAGAAAATTGATCCAAAATAATAAAAACAAATTAACTTTTTTATATATTCGATGAGATATAGGAGATCTGAATTGAACTAGATAGAAATATACAGGGTGTCCGTTTTGAAACAAAATATTTTGGCTTCATTTTAGAAATGAGCGATTACAGACATGAAATGAGAACGCCACTGTTTTATACCTAGAAAGTTATATAAGGCCCCGTTCTCATCCTGTCGCCGATAAAATGAAAAGTAACCATGTACTGGAGGTGCTCAAATATTATTGAGTATTTTTCAACTTTGGCTGTATCTCATAAACATGAAAGAAATTATAATACTCTATATCTTCAGAGATAACTGAGAGATATCACGCAAAAATAAAAAACTGGTCACACTGTACATTGAAGAATAAAACGAATACCTACCTATATTAAAAAATGTGGAAAAAATTGAGAAATAAAATTCTTGGTCGAGGATCGATTAAAAATAACTTATCTAACTAATAGCATCCAGTGACTCTAAAAATAACGAATCTCAAAGTATCTACGTACCTACTAAAAGTTATTATAATGAGAAAAACTATTCTTATAATCGATATAGTTCATTTTCAAAAAGAGGAAAGAGTGTACATAGAAAAGTACGGGCCAAGCACAGGCCAAGCCAAAGAAGCAATGAGAAGAAGAATATTTATTGACAGATCTCTTGAAATTAGAAGAAGACACTAAGACAGAAGGTAACCCCAATTATTCTGTCAATTTCGGCAAGGAAAGTTTCTAAAAGAGACCTAGTTTGTAAATTCCGGAATAAAAATAGACAATGGTTTTCACGACGGCTATTAATTTCGTGAGAGCTCGTGGCCCAGATGAATTTTGGCGAAAGCGAAAAATATTCAAATTATCTGCTGTAAGGTTTTTCTGTATCTACTTTTACAAAAAAGTAAATGACTCATTTTTCAGCACTTTGTGGGTAGAAAAAGAAACTGCTACAGCATTGCCATCAGATATGTCCACCGAGCTCTAGCATATGCCACAAAAGGTAGAAAACTAAGGAAAATAGACATGGCAAATGTAAGCAAACATTTCTTCATCTTTTTGAAGTTGTCAATAACCATTTTATCATGTTCTAGCTTTGGGAAACCAGGGTTCGTGCTGGATGTGAACAACATAATATTAACTATGATACCTTCAGGGAAGGTCTAGTAAGAAGTGATATTCTCCTGAACAGAAAGACACTAGCAGACCTCTCTTGTTGGGAACCATATACCTTCAAATCTCTGACTGATATTGCAAAGAGAAGAGCTCTAGATGATGGATTGGCAGGAATAAGCTCAGATAATAAGCTTGATGGAATCATTACCAAAGGTTGTTTGAATAGAAATAAATGAAGTGTGTAGATTCATTTGGATTATATGTATAGGAGATGAAATGTGAGCATTGTTTTTATATTTCATGATTTCATATGTTCTTGTAAATAGTGAGGTATAGTTATGCAATATAGACTTGATTTGGTATTATTCCACTTCTGCATTCTCAGTGCAATTATCTGGCAGTGCCTATTTCAGTGGTAGGCAATCAGTAAGTATATCTATATACTTACCAACCAATTTAGCCTATTTTGATATTATTTTCATAAGATTGAACCCTAATTAAGAGATGTTGATTGCATTGAAGTTTTTATACTGTGCTTCTAGATAATGTCACTACTGCTTCACCCTCTGTATATCCCCCTGCTCTGCTTTGATTTCTGTGGTTTCCTAAATGGCCCTTTTCATAAGAATCAAATTCAAATATGAAAAACTATACCTATTACTGAACTGAAAGAATTCTAATTAGAACATTATTGCAACAGCATGAGAGGCTTATATAAAATTAAAATATTGTCATTCTCTTTCTATTTGACATATATTAGAGCAGGATTCTGTGAAAATAGCAACCTTTTTATTTGATTTGGAAACCAGATTTGATAAATCCTACTGAATGAAGTATTGACCCCCTTTTTGGAGAGTTTGATAGGTTATTCATAGGTGGCACCACTCATAGTGATCTATAGAATATGTTTTCAAATTGCAGGAACGTCTCCAAAGGTATCAGTATTCATGTATAATGTCAAACAGTTGACACTTGATATTTTATTTTTTGAACAATTCTCACCACTGTCCCTCGATTTTCACAAATATGAGTATCTTGGATATATGTGAAAATTGATTGAAAACATATGAGTGGCTAGTTAATCATATTTATTCCTTGTGTTCATTTTTAATTTTTAGACAAGTGTTATAATTTGGTAATACCTTCTATATACCATTAGGTACCTACAAAATTATTTGAAATACTGACCACCTTGTACTTCAAATTAGGTCGATTCGCGTTAATATTTAATATATTTTTAAAATAATTATATTGACCCAAAAATTAATTTCCAATTTTTCATCATTTTATAAATAGGTAGGTAGCTAACGGATTTCAGATTTATTTTAAGCCCATTTTTCAATAACCAAAGTGTTTATATACGAATTTTTGAACTTAATCCAAAGATGCTACATCAGAGAATATCTGAAATACACACTAGTTTCCTGATCTCTCTTTGGATTTTACTTATTCAATTGAAATTAAATAATTTTTTTTCACATCGAATAATTTTATTTTCATATAAATCATCGATTGACAACAAAAGTGGAAACTTATAAACTATTCAACAGTTCTAAATTATGTACAATTATTCATTTTTACATAGTATTTACATTTGCATAATATTTAAAATCACGAAAAACATTCAGAACATAATTCTAAATCAAATAAACTTCAAATCAACAGTATATAACCAATGAAACCTGACATGATCTTTCCTATACAGCGAATTACCATATGTAGCTGTTCTAAAACGCTTATATACGGACTATTGCACGAGTATCACAAATAAAAAGCACAAAATAATGAACGCAAATGCACTTGCTAAAACCTTCCACACCGCTCAGACTCATCATTTCCCGAAATTTTGTACTTCCCAGCCTGCCGACAGACCAGATTACACCCCTATCGCTCACCACGGCCTCCAAATACTGTCCACAATCTCATCCTCTTCACCGCTGAAATCCGAAGTCGCTTCTTCTTTCTTTGCCTCCTCATCAGCACTGGAACAACTATAGAAGTCCTATTCACCCCAAGCACTAGCCAGCTGTACGTGTAGTACTCTGGAAACAACACAACGTAGTTCCCGTCGTAAGCAGGCTTGGAGGCATCTGGTTCCTCAGCAGGCCAATTGTTGTTGACTTCGTGGGCTTCGAGGTTATTGTAGCCTGTCTACTGAGGCTGTACAAAGCATCGACTTCCAATTCTGCTACGCAGTTGTTCAGGTTGCACAGCAGGCGCTGAATTATCTCAGCGTCTAGAGTAATCATGGTTTATGCGTCAGGGGTTCCAGTTACTTCTGGACTTCCTTGACGCAGTCGGAATAGCCTGACTTGTGCTTGTTGACGCCTTAAGCGTCCAGGCTGCGGTGGCGTTGGAAATGGCGTACTGTCATCTCGAGGAAGTCGGCCTCTCCTAACTTGGAGTGCTTGGTCGCTCACCAAGGCCTCCACATACTATCGACCTCTCCTCCCTTACCGCTGAAATCCAAAGGCGCCTCCATCTTCTTCCCCTCTTCATCAGCACTGGAACAGCTAGAAGTGCTAGCGCTCGTATCCGGCTCGTTTTGCGTACGCAGGTTTACCCCAAGCGCACTAGCCAGCTGCACGTAATGCTCCGGCAGCAACAACACGTAGTTCCCGTCGTAAGCAGGCTTGGAGGTGGCCTTGGAGGCACTTGGTTCCTCGGCAGGGGAGTTGTTGTTCACTTCGTGGGCTTCTGAGGGTAAGAGCCTGGCTTCGGGAGGTTGTAGCCTGTCTTCTAAGGCTGTGGCTTGTCGTGCATCGACTTCCACTTCTGCTACGCAGTTGTCCAGGTGGCGCAGCAGGCGCTGACGTACCCCAGCGTCTAGGGTTGTCATGGTTTGTGCGTCAGGGGTTTCAAGGTACCTCTGCACTTCCTTTACGCAGTCCGAATAGCCTGACTTGTACTGGTTGACGCCTTGTGCGTCCAGACTGCGGTGGCGCTGGAAATGGCGTACTGTCAGCTCGAGAATGTCGGCTTTTTCCAGCTTGGAGTGCTTGGTGTTGTCCGCTTTGGCTGAGTCGAGAATGAGAGTTTTCAAGGCGGCTAAGCTCTGGTTGATCCTGGCTCTTCTTCTCTTCTCCATGAGCGGTTTGTTGGCGCGGCGCGGTTCCGATGGTTTCTTGTTCTTGGCCGTCATGGCCAATGCGACGACTGTTTGCGGAGGCGGCGTGAGGCGTCGTTCGACTGTTTCTGGTGGCGGGCTGACTGGTTGTGAGTCGTGGAGCGCGTCGAATTGGCGGTTCTCTCGCTCGCGAACTATGTCTGTCTTCCTCTCTTTTTGTCGTGCGGCGGCGGAAAGGGTAGGCGCGTGCGGTAGCGTCGCGGCGCGGGGTCCTGGGAGGTGAGGGGGGGAGGTTTAGTCGCGTGCCGACACTGCCACATCACACCATCGGGCCGAAGCTGGGGTGCTCAAAAGTTGGGGCGCCACTATTTCATAGCAGTGTTGGATAGCTAGTTATAGAGTATTTTCTCTTCATTCAGTCTTTGATATTGTATTCAAACGTATTTTTGTCCCACACAGCACGAAATATTCATCAAAGATTGCCCCATTATTACACTATTGCAGTTGCATTGTTGCATTTACAGTCCTCCAGAAATATTGCAGGAAATTCGTATTTTCGTATTGCCAATTGTCAAGAAATAGAAAATGAGAGAGAGGAAGAGGGAGAGAGAGACTGCTGTTCAAGTTTCTGCTTTTAGTTTCCTTCACTTGGAAACAGACAGTATTATTTTGATCGTGTGTGCCAGACGTGAGAGACGTTGTCATATTGATGTGATCTCTGTATTGTTGAATAAATAGAATGGAACATCTAGAAAAATGTAAACTCAATTTCAAAAATAAACTCTTCTTCATCAAAGATCTTGAATACAGTCCACTCAAAACATAAACATAAAAGTTTTGGTCCTTCGTGCCGGATCTACAGTGAACGATCAAATGGAAGCTTCAGTAAACGTCTAATTCCTAGGCGCTGAACTTGGATAAAATCTGAATCTCATCAACTTTGAACGTCGACATCAACGGCTCATCGTTCCCAGCACAAATCGGGACTACCCTCCGTAGTGGCGTGAGTATATCAAGATGCAAATAAAGTGGGAGCAGAGGTGTCCTTCGATTCATTTCATCACCATTTAACCTCTGTTTGCAACATCTACTTCATATTGTATTCATTGAGGAACTTTTCTAGTTTGTTCTAGTAGAATAAAAAAAACTAAACAAGAAAAGAGGTCAAATCAATAATGCTCACAATTAGCGTGTACACCTTAGTAGAACTTTTAATTCAAACTATGTTTATAATGATCCTTTTATACATATATAATGATTGACGACATAATTCGATCGAAAAATTAACTGGAATATTTTATTTTTGGACATGAATGATAGTACCTTCTGAAAACGGACCCTCTTATGACGTAGAAACCTCATCGCGCCATAGTTAAAAGAATCAATCAATCAAAATCAATAATTTTTTATAAAACGTAGGGAGCTCACAGCAAGAAACGGTTTGCGGTGGTGAGCTAGTTTGGGTGAATTCTATCGAATTATGATTTTTTTTTTTGTGATATAAGCCCATTACTTCAGATCCTGATATCGAACTTGATAGAGCTACAGTAATTGAACTAGAGATGAGAGTTGGAAGAGGAATACTATATTATGTGAATTCGAAGATGTACCGGGTGATATTGAACTCGAGGTTGAAGAACAACTCCCACAGCAAGAGTAATTTGAATCAATATATTTTAAAACATTGTCGAACGCAAGTCGCAGTCGTTTCGAATCATAGGACTGTTTCGGAACCGTTCACAATTTATGAAATCCCGAACGCTGCCGACGAGAACCTCTGAGAACATGACGTCTATTCCGAATTTGCGAAAAAAACAATAGTTTGGCACCTGTATCTTCATTAGAATAATATTCTGAAGCTTCAAACTCTCTTTTGAGTCTATTCACAATATCTCTGGAAACCCTCTGTGGAGAAATGGTGAATATATCCCATCATAGCATTCGTAGCTAGATTTTCAATATTTGTTGTCCCTTTGCACCTACATGAATTTCGACACCCACCTGAAATGTTCAATGAATTATGTATCTGAATATAATGGCGAAGTCTCTCCAACATAATCCTCCATGTTTCGGTTTATCTAACAAAAGTTAGAGAATTATCAGATTAGGTAAAATATTTTCAGCAACTTCAGTAAGCTACTCCTTCATCATTGCTTCCTGAAGATGAAGATCTACTACTATCAAATGAATGTACTAACTCCATGGTATTGAGATAATATTGAAAAAAGCAATAAACAGTGGAATGAACAAAAATATATCATTATGACGTTACGCTACAATAGACAGAATCGAAAACTAAATGAAATGAGCATGCGCCAAAAATAATCCTAGAACGGTTCACGCTCCCCAGCGAGCACAAACATCCCTGGGATGTTTTGGGATGTTTTGAAAATGTTGGCTTGAAGATGTTATTTTGAGACATCATAATATGCACTGACCAAAGAGGTCTTTGAAGGATATTAAAGTATTGTTTTTGTTCTTCTGTGGCATTTATTTGTTTGCCTACTGAGAGGGATCCCTCTGGGATGTTTTGGGATGTTTTAGAAATGTAGGCATGAGGATGTTTTTTTGAGGCGTAATATGCACTTCCCAAAGAGGTCTTAGAAGGATATTGAAAGTATTGTTTTTGTTCTTTTGTGCCCTTTCTTTGTTTGCCCCACCACAACGTCTCATGCTTACGTCACAATACGATGAATTCTGATTTGTTTTCGATTTTATTCTTCTTGTTCGCAATTGGCATTCGCGTTTGCAGCGTGTCACATGGTGTCACGCTTACATCATGCTGCTAACGAACAGAAAGGAATTTGGTGAAGTTTATTGTGTTAGAAGACTTATTTAGTTTGTAATAATGACCATCAGATGCAAGATGTGTGGTTCGGTGCCTCAGTGTAATCAATATATTAAAGTACCAATTCATCAATACACAGCTTCTGGGCAGTTGCAAAATTATGCATTGTGGAGAACATTCCGAAAATTGGGAAACCTATTTCCAATTATATGTCTGTGTGTAGTAGGCACTACTCAGAAACCGATTAAGAAAGTAATTTCATATCAAGAAAATATTATGTTCAATCTATTTTTAATGCATTTTTTCATTCAAGGGAAATGGAATCCTAATGCAAAAGTTCATTTTGACAAAAGAATTCAGAAAAGTACCTCGAAAATGGTTTTTTTACAGCGATTTAATGTGCGCAAGACGCGTTGAAAATGTTCTGTTGTGTCCATGAAAAGGCTTTAAAAGAACTATAGGGAGAAGGTAGTTTTGTGACATATCAAGGACATCTCGATAATTGCCGCCTGCGGCGGACATTGGCTGTTCTATAATAGTTCTATTCATGTGTGAACAGAACATCGCAGTGGAGGTTCAATGTCTCGAAATCTCGTACTTTTAACATCTCTGAGATGTTTTTGTGCTCGCTGGGTCGAGAGCAGGTACTAGTTTCGGATGAGAAAAAAACTGAATCGGAAGAGTGCATTCAGTTGCGACTAGAGTTGAAAATTTTCTTGAATATTTTAAGAATGGAAACTTTCGAGCCCCGCATGTTGAGAACCTCCGACACGCGGTCTGGCCGAGCTTCCGCCGGTCCCCGCAGCCCCCGGAGGCAGGTGGGGGGCGCAGGGGGCAGGGTCGCTCGTTAGACACGTGACGCGTCAGACACGCGCCGCCGCCGCCTCAGCGTCGCGACGCCACCGGCTTTATTACGCTCATTTGCCGGCCGACCTGTTCCCGACCGCGTCGACGGCGACACCGGACGCAAGGGGGCCCTGGGGGGAAGTGGGGGGAAAAAGGGGGGGCGGTGGGCGGATGAAAATATGGTGTGGGCATGCAAGCGCGTCGGCGGTATAGCTCGGTGAAACGGTAGCCGAAAAAAAGCATATCTTAAACTCCTATTGAAAAAACTTTCATTTTATGGAATAAGAGGCACGCCATATGCATTGAGATTATTTTAATCTTATTTGGAGAAAAGAGAGCAATATGTACATTTGAATAATAATTCTAAATTGAACTCAAAGAAATTCAACACGCGGAGTTCCTCAAGGATCTGTTCTAGGACCGTTGTTTTTTATCATATACATCAATGATCTGGGCTACCACATGATAACGAGATATCAGAATGTCCTGTATCATCTGCATATATCTTGTATCAGTTCGAATGAGAATATTCCACTTCTTCTTGATCAAGCTGATGCTCTAATCCCAGCGAGCACAAAATAAACATCTCAGAGATGTTAAAAGTACGAGATTTCGAGACATTGAACCTCCACTGCGATGTTCTGTTCACACATGAATAGAACTATAATAGAACAGCCAATGTCCGCCGCAGGCGGCAATTATCGAGATGTCCTTGATATGTCACAAAACTACCTTCTCCCTAGTTCTTTTTAAAGCCTTTTCATGGACACAACAAAACATTTTCAACGCGTCTTGCGCACATTTAGTCGCTGTAAAAAAAAACATTTTCGAGGTACTTTTCTGAAGCCTTTTGTCAAAATGAACTTTTGCATTAGGATCCCATTTCCCTTGAATGATAAAATGCATTAAAAATAGATTGAACATAAAAATATTTTCTTGATATGATTTTTTTTTATCGCTTGGAGCGCACGAGAGGGAATCCCTATAATGTTCAAAGAATTACCTTCTTAATCGGTTTCTGAGTAGTGCTTACTACACACAGACATATAATTGGAAATAGGTTTCCCAATTTTTGGAATGTTCTCCACAATGCATAATTTTGCAGCTGTGTATTGATAAATTCGTACTTTTATATATTGATTACACTGAGGCACCGAACAACACATCTTGCATCTGATGGTCATTATTACAAACTAAATAAGTCTTCTAACACAATAAACTTTCTGTTCGTTAGCAAACAAGAAGAACAAAATCGAAAACCAATCAGAATTCATCGTATTGTGACGTAAGCATGAGACGTTGTGGTGGGACAAACAAAGAAAGGGCACAAAAGAACAAAAACAATACTTTCAATATCCTCCTGAGACCTGGGAAGTGCATATTACGCCTCAAAAAAAAAACATCCTCATGCCTACATTTCTAAAACATCCCAGGGATACCTCTCAGTAGGCAAACAAAAAAATGCCACAGAAGAACAAAAACAATACCTACTTCAATATCCTTCAAAGACCTCTTTGGTCAGTGCATATTACGTCTCAAAATAACATCTTCATGCCAACATTTTCAAAACATCCCAAAACATCCCAGGGATGTTTGTGCTCGCTGGGATAATTGAAGCAGAAGCTTGTTTTTACTGCA